GAACAGGAACCACTTCCTTATGGCGTTCTCAACTGTTACATTCTCTTTCTCAACTGTTACACGATTTCGATTTGTGATGCAAGAATGGGAAGAATGAAAGGGGCCCCCTTTGCGCGTCTTGCATGACAGATTTGGCACAGACTATAAGCCCGCGTGGCCCTTCCAGAATTTGTCATGCAGAACAGCTCGATCGTGTTCGTCATCGTCTTCGTGTAGAAGTAGAAGTAGATCTAGATCTACATCTAGAACTAGATGACTGTGCAGCTGCAGTGGTGCTTTAACTTTTGGTTTTGCATGACAAATTGAAACTCATGTAACAGTTGAGCTTGAGAATGTAAATGTATATGTAACATTTACATTTGAGTTTGACTTTGAGAATCCCACATTCCTAGTTCCACGAGAGCAGCCAGTGGATTTCGCAGCAGGAGGCGATGATCTTCCGCGCAGTGGAAATAAACCATCAAATAAAGCGACTACTCCGTGCAAAAGTATCGCACACGCATGAAACCGACTGCGTACCATTTGCAAGACAGCGCGGTGCGGACCGACTACGACGGCCTATCCCTGGCGAGCGAGACTCTGGCCATGTCCTCAGCTGGCGGAGGGACGAGGAGGAGTGGTGCGTCTAGTAGTACATCTTCCCGTAGTTCCTCATCTTCTCCTGCGGCATCGTCCTCGGGGCCGCGTACTAGCAGCCCGGTTCAAACTGCGACGAATTGGATAGCCGCCAAGACGCAGAAAGCTTTGGGTGATTTGGACCGCGCATTTTCGGAAAAGCATGGATTGGACCATTCGCGGTTCAATTCATTCAAGGAGGAGAAAATGAAAACGTAAACGCCAGTAGAAGAACTGCGCGACGACAATGGCAACATGGAAGTAGGAACAGCAACAAATGAAGAAAAAGAAGTAGAGATGAGATTAAAGCAGCATCCGTACAACCTGCACCTGCTGGAGCGCACGGGCCGTGGAACTACTGCGCATCATGATGCGAGTATTGGTGCAGGAGCGAATGGTCATGAGGGGCCAGCACGTAGCGAAAGCGAAGAAGCCTCGTTCTATCCACGACAGGAACAGTACCAGACCGCGCCATCTCCTGAACAACAGCAAGAAGAAGTAGACTATCGGGCCCAGACTGAGGCGAGCAGCCGGCAGTTCGAGGGAATGCTGGGGTTTCGCGAGGGGCTGATGTCGGGTGCGGCGAAGGCGGTTGCGGTGGATGCGAGAAGAAAAGCGATGTATTTATAAAAACAACTACGGCGCCGGGAGGTCCTCGGGTGACGGTGAGTACGGCGTCATAGGTTCTGACGCAGAAGGAGAAATAAAACGGGCTGCAGCGGAGGTGGATGAAGAATATCAAAAACGAAACGCCACCTCCTCGACCACGACCTCAAAAGCGCCAGCGCGGAAGGAGAATGGTAAGAACATGAACAATCTTAAAAACCACGGGGACAGCAAGAAGAAGAAAAGCGGCGTAGTTGTGCCACTCTCCGAGGCGGCCACCCAATTGCCCCGCGTGCTGCTACTGCAAGAAGTAGAAGAGCAAAGATCTGAGAATGTTGACAACGCTGAACCTGAAACACCACGAGCAGGGGGACCACCACCTGCTGCGACTACAGGGCCAAGTGACAAGCAAAAAACGAAAGAAAGTGTGCGTCCTGCGTGGAAGCAAGACCTGACCTACCGGTAGCGATTTGAAATGGAAGAGCGCATGTTTGTGTCCGACTTTAGGATGAAGATGTCGAAAAACTATAACACAGCTTCGAATTGCTATTACATGTTTTGTTTTTGAAGTCAAAATGTACATGTACCGGAAAAGTTGAAACCACGAAGAAGGAGAAGCGAAGAAAAGAAAAAGGAAGACTACGATGTTCATTTAGAGGGAGACAGAAGAAGACGGGCGCTTTTTGTAAATTGAAAATTCCTCCGGGACCCTGTTACGGTGTGAAGTGAATGTGTATGAAAAGACCCTCGTGAAGTTGCCTTGTCCAAGATCTGGAAAACTAAGCGGCGTGTTTTTCTTTTTGAAGTGTCGACTACGCAGCTCCATAAATATGCAGCACGGAAGCATTTGTAGGTCTAAGTTTGTTTTTGAGACTCATTCCCCTGCTTCCGGACATCTCGTGATCTCAAAGCAGATAGAAGCTTTTTACGTTTCCTTTCGTTTGTCAGGGTGAGGCGAAGTGGTTTCGCTTCCCTAAGCGTCTTCGTCAAAAGGCGGACCTGCTAGTTGCAGCGCATGCGCAGATCAGGTTCATTCGCACCATGTCTTCTCATCACTGTTTTGCGCGTGCAGTTGTAGATGTTGATGTAGTTGTTTTGGTTCTGGTGCATAGTGAAAGTACCCGCTTGCGTCTTCGTTTTGTCTTAGCCAGCGGCATGGATCAAGCCGCCTCCCCGGGCGGAATACAAATACGGCACGCGTGGTCGTGATAATCGTCTGTCGTTGCGAAATCGCTGTCGTGAATATCGTGCTCAGTCGTGTTGCCGCCATCGTTCGAACAGGTCGCGGGTGCCGGATATGAAAATACACACGAAATGATCAATGAGAAACGCATTGTTTTTTTTTCTGAAAATTTATCACTACAGTCTAGCCCTTCACGTTCATTTTTCACTAGAGTCATTCGCTGCGCACCAGGGCCACAAGCACAAGCAGGAGACAATCGAAGGTAGTCGTCCTCGAACGGGTCATCGTGATCATCATCGTCGTCGTTTTCTCCTCGCTCTTGTGCCGCATGGTCCTGCCAGCTGAACTTCGCAGGCCGTATCCACGAATCGCAGGCAAAAGTCCAGACTTGTCTGGCGGGCTCTGTGGATTCGATGAGATCTTCTACGCTCCTTTAGGGCAGGGCTTAGCGTCGTGTGTAGATATGAAGGCTCCTGGTCTAGTCGTAGTCGTGCACGTTCTCACCACCAGTCGCGTCGCCGCCTCCCTGGGCGGGATAGAAGTGCAGGATGCCCTCGTGCGATCAGATCAAAATCAAGTAGGTCAGCGATCGCGATCGAAATGGTAGTGCTAATGCTAGAGCCTGGTTTCAGATATGTGCGTTTTCTGCGTCGTCGTGTGTAGTGCAAGTATAGTGAGAAGCTCCGGCTTTAAGGCGTTTTCCGTCTCGTAAGAGGCTCGTGGCATCGCATCAAGGTCGTCGAAATGTCGTTCAAACTCCGTGCGTTCGTTGCCGCTGACGGCAGAAAACGACGTCGGTTTTGCGCGGCGAGAAAATCGAAAAGAAAAAAAAATATTTGGAGATAAATATTTTTGGAACTACCGTAAGGTTGATGTATAGGAATAGCGTCCCCCCATAGCATGAATGAGCGAGTGATTTCAAACCGTTACTGCCTTTGCTTGATAAAACCTCTGCATAAATTACTCCGACGTCCAAACAAATGTCTTCTACTGACACTTCTACTGCTGGTCTACATTATTTATTATTTCCAGGAGTAGATGTGTGATTTATTGTGTGCTGTGAGTTTTTTATCCTCCGAAGCCCGTCGTCCTTTTCCCGCTCTTCCGATTGCTTCGTCGTATCTTTTTTTTACATCGCTATTGGTTTTTGAGTCTACTGTGATAAAAACGGCGTGCTGGTTCTTGTATCTCGGCGGTTCAGCATCAAACTTTTGATGGAGTGAGTTTCGTGATGAGATGACGCTCTTTATTGTCGTGATTCAGAGATCTAGAGGGCACGACGACGAGTAGTCAAATTTTACTACGAGAATCTTCAATAAATGTGCACCACCGTGACATCAAACTTGTTTCTTTCTGAAATCACCCATACGGTGGTACTACTCTTCTTCTATTTTCTTGTGCGGGCAGTTCTAAAAGCCTATCCTTCTGACTGCTACCGCGGGTAGTTAAGACCACTTCTACTCTCTACATTCAGGCGCCATAGAATGCAAAACGAAGTAGAAGTTGCCACAGGAATAGGACAAGAACAATCCACGGGGACTCTAGAATTTCAAGAAATGTCAAAGTGGCAATCCAAACAAGAAAATTCAGGTAGCAAAAAAATTTGCTGTACTATCTCGTCCGATATTTGCACTTACAAAGCGATTGACGTGCTCCGGCGGAGAAAAAAAAAGAAGATGAACCGGATGTAAAAATCGTTCTTCTCGATCTTCTTCAGTGACAATTATATCAAGCTTGTGCTTGCGTGTTCTAGTTTGTCTTTTCTGAAGATCAAGGTAAATACCGTTCTATTTTGTGCTTTTTATTTAGATTTACACCAAAAAGGAGAAAAAGCATCGCCAAATCAAGAAAAGAAAGCTGCGATAGAAATTTTTAGCGGGTGCCAGTCTTAGTGCTGTTCTGTCTAAGCGCTATAACCTCATGAAAAAGTAAAGAGGCCCAAAAAAATAAGTAAGTAAATCGACTATTACTATGTTTTCTTTTTTTACAAATTCCGAAATCGACGCCCCCTAATAGGAAACATCAAGCCATAGGACGGGACAAATATTTGCGCTCATACAAATATTCAACCGCTGCAGCAAGAATTTTTTTTGGCGGAGGAGTAAAAAGATGTCCAAGAAAAAAGTCCAAAATTAGTCCGTGGATCTTCGAGTCTGAAAAACATTTTGGACGAGGACCAAATGCAGATCCGGAAAAAACTTTGTATACCAGCGAGCGTAATAATTTTCAACCAAATGCGATGTGCTCATTGAAGTTGTTGATCCTACGGTTATTTTGGATCTGACACCTCTACTGCTCGGTCCAGAACCAGAAGTCACAATGCTTAATTTTTCATCTCGATCCTTTCGTCCTGTGGAGTTCCTATTTTGATGATCTGTCGCTTTTCTTCGGGCTCTAGGTTACAACGCAACAACGACCCTGGGCTGGATGTATACAAAGAATTTACGTGCATGATAACCACGCAAAAAAAGTGGCAAACTCCTAGAAACGCCACCAAGCCGCGCTCAAACTTTTTACATCGGCAAGTGCAAGAACAGCAGTCCCCATTATTGATTGATTAGACTGAGACCACTCTTGTTTTGGAGTTTCTTTTTTTGTAGCGTTTTCATTTTCTTCTCGCAAGAACTCCTGTCGGTGTGGCGAAATTGCTCGCTCTAGAATGGTCGCTGTATCAAAATTGCCGCTGTAGCAGAAATTGTCACGTAGTTTTCTTTACATCGGCATCGAAGACGAGGAGCATCAGCATGCCAGACCGTTCATAGCCTTCGCACTGCATCCAACGCCAGCAATCTTGTCATGTGAAATTTCCTATGCGAGGCGTCATTGGTTTGTTCTTGAGGAGCTGGTGTACCAGAGGTGCCAGCACCCTGCCTGCATGCTATTCCAGCAAACTCCAACACCTGCTCTGCTATCGCCGCAATTACCGGCGGCGCCACTGCATTTCCAATCATCCGGTAGCACATGCGACGCCGCTTCGCGTCTTGCACATGCAGCTCGCCCACGACCTCGGGCGCAGCAAGAACATCTTCACCACCAGAAGCATATTCACCATCAGAAGAAGTTTGAGTTTTCTCTAATATGACCGCGCTAAGAAACCGCTTCTGGTACCACTTTGGAAACCCCATGAGCTGCAAACACTCTTCGACCGTGAAGAGCCTGGGATTATTCGGGAGATTTTGCGCCACCAGCTGGGAGTTTCCGTTGGAACAGTGGTGGCCGTAGTGGGACACAAGTGGCGCGGCTTTCGTGTGATAGAAGGCGGGCGGAGGTGAGGGAAAATAGGTGGTTTCCGAAGGTACAAAAAGCAACAGATTCCGAAAATCACGCTTCCACGCAGCTGTTTGCATCAGCGCTCGAAGCTGAGCATTAGAGAGCGACTCTGCCTGAAGATGTCGTCTGCTAGGAACGGCATCTCCAGGTAGTTCTTCCATAGGGTCGTCAGTGAGCTTCTTTCCGTCTTCTCCGTGATCGATGACTTGGCTCAAACTCAGAAACGACCTCGTTTCGTTTTCGAAAATTTCTTCCAGATTTGGAAATTTGAAGACGTTCGTTGGACGGCCTTGATTTTTCCCGATCAACATGGTGCAGGAACTACCCCCGCTCATGTCAATTTCTCTTGCAGGATGAAGACCAGCAGAAATACCATCACAAGTAGCGACCTTGTCCCCTGCCCGAAAAAAATCTTCGTTCGCTATCGCTATCCCGACAAAAAACAGCCGTCTCCTTCTCTGTGCCGTGAGGTGCTTCGCGTCCAAAACTTTGCAGGAAACGTTATACAGCCCGTTGCACTCGAAGGCGGATTTGATTTCCTCGAAATCTGCTCCGTTGTTCGTCTCCAGCAAGCCTGGAACGTTTTCCAGGATAAACGCCTTCACAGTGGGCGCTAGACGTCGGCGGCGCTTTTCGTTCATCCTTATTGCGTCCTCTGTGTCTGATGTTGAGCCTGTCGTAGTATTATGTGGAACCGCGGCTTCCTCGTCAATTTCCTTCTGCAATAACCGCACAATCTCGAGATAAAGTTCCCCACGCTTCGTAGAATCATGATGCGCACCTTCGCCATTTTTATCTTCGCCTCCAAAATTCTTGCTTCTCGTCGGTCGACCTCGTCGTGCCTCCTCGGCAATTCCATGCTGCTCCCCCAGACGCGAGAACGGCTGGCAGGGAAAGCCACCGACAAGCAGGTCGGTGTTTTCTGGTAAGTGCGGTATTTCGCGCACGTCGGTAGGAAAATTGATCGTTTGACTTTGACTTGCTGTAGAAGTAGTTTGGTGCCCGTTCATCTTTAGTGCAGCCGCGTTCTTCCCGCCACCGGCATCTGACGATTCCTCCTCGTGTTCGTGAAAGATTGTGCCATAAACGTCTCTGCAATCCTTATCAATTTCCGCTGCGAGGACACATTCTCCTCCGAGAGCGTCGAGCGCAACTCGGAAACCCCCAATGCCGGCAAAAAGCTCGGCGTAGGTGAAGCTTAGCGGACTCATCCTCGCATCGTCCCTTCTTGCCCTGACCGGGAGCAAACACTCCGCGAAAGGCGGGAGAGAGAACGAAGACGCGGCACCGGTGTCTTGGGTTTGTTGCGGTAGTTGGTGGTCATCTCCTGGCTTGATTATATCCGGATCTGCTCCAGGTCCAGCCTCGTCCCACGCCACGTTGAAATACACTTTGATCTTGTCTAGCAGATCATTGTTACAAGTGCTATCCTTTCTACCGCGCGGCACTAGCAAATTTAGATTTCCTCCGGCGAACATATTGTTAGTGGTCGTTTCAACATCACCGTCTTCGCAGTCCCTTCTTGTTGTGTTTGCCGCGTCCGCAACCGCAGGTGCCGTTTTCGGCGGGCTCAGAGGAGCGATCGTGGAGTCTTCAGAATGATCATCATCATCGACGTAAAGATGATCTCGACGTCTCTCATCTTCACGAGTTTTTGGCTTTAGCTCCTTCACTTTTGTACGTTCGCTTTTGGAAAACAACGACCCGTAGTTCTGCAAAAATCTATCCAACACGCCAGCAGGCCGTGGCTCCTCAGGGTCTGTGGTCTGCGGCCAAATATTCACCGCATGTAGTTCAACATTTAGCGGCACGGACGTCGAGCGCACTTCTTCTAGCTCCGCGGCCAGCCTTTTACCGCCGTCCAAGGAAAGCAGAATCAAGCGGTCCCGGGTCGCTTCGCACTCGCCGTATCGCGCGAAAAAAGTGTTACATTTACACATTTGTTGTCAATTCAGCAACACAAATTTCTCTGCATGAGAGAGAAAACTTGCAATGCAGAAATCACACGGGAAAACACCTATGAAAGGAGGCTCCTATGCATATCCGGCATGACAAAGCTTGTCTGTCTTGCTTGGCCTGCAAGACAATTATGTGTAACAGTAACACTTTTTTCTCAGGATACGCCGAGGTCTAGGTCTACTGCGGCTTGTCTTCGTGGATCTTCTGGTGCTCCCTCTACTTCTGCGTTATTCGTGGTGCTACCAGATGAACAAAAACTTCCGCATCGAACGTAGCGGCTCTTCTTCAGCACGTTGCTACTATACAGCTTGGACTCCAAATGGAATTTCTGGAATTGGTAGTAAGACTTGTGGTTTTCATCTGGTGTCAGTGGAAGTGGTCGCGCTCCACATCTACCAAGAGAATTTGAGTTTGTCTTTTCTGTCGTGGTTCTACTTGTTCCTCCTGGATCAACTTCGACATGGCAGTCAGCTTGACGAATCTTCGTTTTGTTAGAGCCCGTACGATTAATCGACCCCCTTCTCGGTACCGAGAAGGGGGGGGTAGGTATGGTCGGTCGTCCGGCCTCCCAAAAAGTAGCCGACTCAGTCTGGCTCAATTCGCCGCCAAATCCAAAACGTGAGCGCGGAGCTTCCCCTCCCGTAGCGCCAGGGATTAGGACTTGGCAAATCCAAAGAGTATGGGTGTGCGCTGGTCTTGCGTTCTTATTGCCGTGCGCTAGCGTGGTTGGCTAGTAGCGTGGTTTCCACGTATACCCGGCGCGGCTTCTAATTCTATTTCCGGCGCAGCCACTTCTAAAAAGCCAGAGCAGAAATAAGCAGAAATCCCCACGCCGGCGCTGTCGTGGCTGCCGCCTCGGCTCCGCGACTGACTTCTGTCTGGTTTTCTAGTTTCTGATCCGACTGCGACTTCTTGATTGCCACCCTAGAACCAAACTAGAGCCAATAAATAGGAGCGCCAGAAAATAATGAATCTGAAGACCGCCCGCCTTCGCACTAATCCATCTACACACTGCAAAGCAAAACCCCACGCGGAGGAGGTAGGCGCCCACTTTAAACCGAACCGCGCTGCGTAATTCTAAAGAAGCCGAGCTCACTGGGGCAATGGCAAAAGTTGTCTTCACTCTCCTGCTGTGCTTCGGTGACTTTTTTTCAAGACGTGCGGCCTTTCAAGAAGAGGAACAAGAGGAGCGGTGCGTTTTTCGAAAGAAGCGCAAATAGGGCCCATTCCAAAGAAAAGGCCGCAAGCTGCGCCAAAGAATTTCCGAGATCTACAGCAGAGTAGGTCTGTTCTTGTTTTAGTACACAAGATCAAGAGATCCAATTATCCGCCACGCAGTGGAAAAGTTTTACTGCGCGTGGAGCGCATCTGTTGCGAACTCGCTGCGCTACTGCTCTCCGAAAGATGACGGCCTGATCTTCTTAGCGAGAACGGTGCGGGACATGGAAGGAGGCAGATGGCTACAAGCTGCCGAGCAAGTCGGGCGAAAATTCGCTGGGTTCTGCTTGCTCAAAAAAAACCGACAGAAAGAGCAAAACGCGACACAGTGCGCGGGTTCCGTGTGGGTTTCTCTCGATGCGAGTCATCCTCTAAAGAGCAGTGGGGCCGCGCCTGCGGCCGTGGTTTTGAAAGCTGAAGAGAAGCAATAGTTGGCGCAAGATGCGCCGTAGCGTCGGCGTTAGGATTCGGAATCGGGGTTCGCGATAAACAGCCCCCCGATTTCGAGAAGGGGGGCGTGGGGGGGTAAGGTCGGTCAGAATTCGGACTCGGGGGGGCTTCTCGGTATCGAGAAGGGGGTCGATTAATCGTACAGGCTCTTATGCTGATCAGGCAACATGATTTTCCTCGCAGGATGTAGTAAATCCTTGTCTGCCTCGTTCAGCGCTTGGAGAAAAAGGCTTGTCCACCGAACCGGCACACGAACGGCTGCAGGGGCGCAGATGTTGGTACGAGCTCCAGCATCCTGGCCCTGCCCCTGCCCTCCTGATACTAGAACGGGAGAAGTTGTCACGGCCTCCGCAGCAGCATATTCTACTTGTTCGTTCGCAGCAGGGTGGTTATCATGATCATGCGTCGTGCCGCACGCTGAATCAAAATCATGTGACGACATCATCTTCGTGCTGATCCTCTCGCACTACTGGCGATAATACTCACCTGCTAATCATGAACGAGCGGTGTAGGAATAACAATGACCCCGCGCGGTTCCTCGACGATGAAGACAATGAGAATACATATCGCCCGCCCAAACGAACGCGAATAGATGAGCCACGACGGGTTATCCAGTGGTAAAATGTTACTCCAAATCTAACCAAAACTTAGTTTCTCTAGGCCTAGTACACTTCCAAAAGCAACTCCTGTTTCTTTGTTCAACGACACATCACTTTTTGTTTTCATATCACGAACTCGTCCACTACTATGTGTACGTATCTATGACTCTGTAGAAGTTGTTTGGTGAACGATCTAGATCCACCGCTCGATTTTCGGGAGTTGTTCCATCCATCGGAAGATCATTGGTGATGCAGGAGGATCGATAATTTTGCATCACCAGCGGAACTACCAGAGGAGGCTCGTCTTTGATCTTGTACTATGTTTATGCTATGATCCACTTAAAACACACATTTGACATTTCAACAATCCTATTTCTACTAGGCGACAGCCTAGTTCATGTTTGTAGCCTAGACAATACGAAACGGAACGATCTCAAATTGCCGATCCTTCAGAGGTGGAAGAACAAGTTGTAAAGCAACTCGATCTTCACGATCCATTTTCATTTGGTACTTACCACGCTTGCTGTCCTTTAGTGTCAGCCTGGTTCTGCTCGCTTCCTAGAGGGGAAATTTCATCGCTTCTCCTATTTCATTTTCAAAAGTGTCGCACATTATGTATATGTTTTGTCGTCGTTAGTAGTAGAAGTACGGATTAAAAATATTTTTGTACGCAGGTGGTGGAAGCGTTCAACCAGCTCGTCCTTCTGATATCTGCCACCTGGCTGCACATCATAATCGAGGACCCGTAGAAGTGCCACGTACTACTGCTTCTTCCTCATCAATACCCCTGCAAATCGTGAAACCCGATGGCGTTGCTGCCCGTGCCGCGGTGCCCGCCACCCCCGCCTCCGTAGGGGTGATTCTGATTCCCCCCACCTCCGCCCTTCCCCCGGTTGTGCTGGTGGTGCCCACCACCACCCTTGTTGCCGCGGTTACTGTGCTGGTGACCATAGTTGTCTCCTCGGTGGTCACCACCTCCACCCGGCCCTCGGTTCTGGTGTCCGCCGCCGTAATTATCGCGATCACCACCTCCGCCTCCACGGTTGTAGTTCGGCCCATAATTGTTCCCACCACCACCACCTTTGTTAATATAATTCGGATTGTTCCCATGTTGGCGGTCACCAGCACCTCCGGGTCCGTCCCAGTTGTTGTCTCTGTTACCGCGGGGATCTCGGTTATGATGATGTTGTCCTCCACCACCATAATTATCCCGGTTGTTCATATTACCACCGCCGTCTCTACCGTGCCCTCGATGTTGCTGGTGTGGTCCCCCATGGTTCCCCCCGCCCCGCTCGTGTTGCTGGCTATCGGAGAAAAAAAGATTGTAGGTGTTGTAAGACTAAGAACTTTCTTGAAAGATTAGCATGACAAATATCTCGTCTCGCATGACAGCAAAAACCTGTCATGCTCAGATTGTACGTGAAAACGCCCTTGAATGAACCCTATATAATGCAGGCACAGCATGACAGGCGCAATCCATCGATTTGCATGTTGCGCATCACAAATTTACAGCACTAAGAATGTTTTTTCCTTGGATACTGGCCACCGCCTCCGTACTGCTCCCGGTCCCGCTTGTTGCGATTGTACAAGCGCTCGTCTTCGTGCGAGTCCTTCTGACTCGCCCGGACGGCCTGCGCCTGCAGTTGTAGCTCAGTCGGTAAAGCGGCGACCTCCTCGGGCTTCAAATTTCGCAGGTAGTCGAAGATCTGCGCCTATCAAATGCAAAAATGTCTGGGTCTGGAAAGTTCGAACTTGTGATGCTAACTTTGGACTCTAAAAAAATCTGTATTGCATGACCAGCAAGAGGACCCCCGCTTGTGCTACGCGAGGAGGCCATTTGTCATGCGGAAATGGCATCAGGAAGCCTTCCAAAAATCTGTGAAGATGCTGGATCATGCATTACAAGCATCATGGGTCATGCCAGACAAGCATGACAACCCTTGCATTCTTCCAGACCCAGACATTTTTACATTTGATAGTGCCTGGTCAAGCTTTTCGAGCTTTCGGAGGAAGGAAAGGTTGACTTCCTTCTTGCTGATGGGCTGGAACTCCTTACCCCAAAGCTTCTCGCGGAGCCTAAAGTGGATTTTGATTTTTTCGATTTTGTATTTATTTCAAGTTGTATAGCATGAAGTTGTGCATGAAAGCGGGGGGTTCCTCAGGAATGCATATGCGCAAACTCACGTATTTGATTATCAAATATTGAACAAGCGCTAGAAAGAATTGAATAGCTCCTCGTGGTTGTAAGAAAGTATAGTACTTTTTGCTCCTGCTTTTCAAAATCTCTTCCTCGTTCATCGTAAAAACGTTGTTCATGTCGTCTTTCTATCAAGTGAAAAAATGTCTGGGTCTGGAAGGTTGGAACTTGTGATGCTGTCTCTGGATTCTAAAAAGATTTGTATTGCATGACCAGCAAGAGGACTACATTTTGTGCTACGCGGAGAGGGGATTTCTCATGCGGTAGAGGTATCACAAAGCTCTCTAAAAATCTGTGATGCTACGGCATGCATCACAGACATCATGGCTCATGGAAAATATGCATGACAAATCTCGAAATCTTCCAGACCCAGACATTTTTACATTTGATACTTTCTCCGGGTTTAGACTCAGTGCCCCGAACGTTTTTTTGTTGGCGTCGCGCAGCAGCAGGGAATCGTCCGAAATCCCGACCACGAAGCACATGTGCTGCACGGCGTGCGCCACAAGCGCGTTCTCCTTGAGCCACTTCTTCGTGCCGTCCGGTGATAAGTGCGCCATCCGCTGCAGTTCGGACAACACGTAAAGGAGCTGGGAGCAGCTACAGTTGTGCACCACCTGGGCGACCTCGCCGAGCAAGGAACAGTCCTGCGGGTCGATCTTCTGGACTTCCTGCTCCGACCGCTTCATCAGCCCGGAGATGCGGTTGCCGACTTGGTCAAACTTATCAAATGCAAATATGTCTGGGTCTGGGAGAACGCAACTTGTGATGCTGCGTTTGGATTCCGAAAAAATCTGTATTGCATGAGCAACAAATAAGGGAGTGCGATTTTTGCTACGCGGAGCATTTGTCATGCGGAATAGGCATCAAGATGCCATCAAAAGGTCGCCTGTGACGATGCTAGGGCATGCATTACAGACATCATGGCTCATGCAAAACGTGCATCACAAGTTTCAGAATCTTCCAGACCCAGACATTTTTGCATTTGATAAAACTGGTCCAGCGTCAAAATCTTCGACAGGGACTGCTTCGGCTATGAGAGTGCGCAACTCCCCCTCCCCCTCATTTGCACGGCATGAGCAGCAATACAAACACCAAGACATCACTTGGAACCTGTGCATAACAAGTTCACGGGCCGAGCGTGGTACTTTTATTTGGGCTTCCGAAATTTGTCATGCAAACAGTGCCATTATATATAAGGCACCAAATTAAAAATTGGGGCCTTTGCACCACAAATGAGGGGGAGGGGGAGTTGTGCACTGTCATATCGATTTCATCTCGTTGTCCGCCCAGTCGACGATCAGTTCTCGGCCCTTTATCAAAAGGAAAAAGCCCCCCTCCCCGTATCACAACAACGAAGTTTCTGATGCTGGATTTGCGTACACAAATCAGATTTGTGTTGCTGGAGGGGACTGCGGGCCCTTATCGAGGAGCCTGAGGAGACGAGGGGCTTTTTTATTTGCCTAGGCGCTTAGCACGAAAAGCGTCCGCGCTGTACTAGGCCCAACAGCATGACAAACCGCCTGCATAAAAATGCGGCTGGGCCTGTGGAGTTGCCTTCTTGCAAGACAGATGCGATTTGTGGTCACAAATCAGCAACACAAATTTTCGAAAACGAACCTCGTCATTATGGGGAGGGCGGAGGATTTTTCCTTACGATACCCTTCAGGGGAAACTTTCCCAGGTTCCGGATCGCGGCCTGCGCGGTGTCCACATCGGGGTACTCGCAAAACTATGCATTGCAAAAGTATCTCTCGTACTCGCATAAATGCATCACAAATTTGCTCCTCAGCATGAAAAATGAAATTTGTAATGCGGATTTAGCTTAAGAACAAGATTTGTAATGCATGACTGCAATACGAGTATCAGATACTTTTGCACAGGATAAAAACCCCGTGCCCTTGTGCCGCCCGCGCTTGTTGTCCATCACAAACCGGAACTCCACCACGCGGCCGGCGAGCTCGCTATGAACTGCAAAAGCATCGTAATAGTATGAATCGCATCACAAATTGGCTCAGCATTACAAATCAAGTTTGTAATGCGGATTTCCCTTAACATCTAGATTTGTAATGCATACCTGCAATTAGTACTAGTTGTACGATGCTTTTGCACAGGATACTCGCAGATCGACATCAAGTCCTGCTCCGTGGCTTCAAATATCAAACAAAAAAGTGTTAACGTTAATGGTTTTCAGAGATTGCAAATATCGTTCGTTCGTTGTGGATCGGCTCTGCCGACCGGGTAACCCAACGCCTTGCATACAAATGACCGACTTAGGCGAACCCCGTTGCGGGCATACAAATCGGCCGTACGGAAGGGCCCTAAGCGCTACATACATAGTTCACCCTAAGCGCCTACCACTTCGGTCGGGACTGAGTCTACCTGGTCCTGGGGGTCTACAGCGCACTAGCCCTTTGCTAGCATAAACAGACTGGGTTCTGCAAACTGGTCTAACTCCCCCTCCTTATAACAGAAAGGCCATCATAAAGGTGCGCTAAAACGGGTTCGGGGCGCTCCGTACGGAAGGGAGCCTTTCGACGCGGCGTACACTCTCCTGTAGAGATTTACGCGGAACACGGATGGGCCGCGCACGCAACTCAGAGATTGCAAATATGCATGACAGATTTTGCCTAATATGCATTCTACGCATGACAAATTTGGACACGTTCTTTTGTGACGCGTCACTGCATCACAAATTCCGTTAACGTACAACACTTTTTTCCATGATATCAAAGGGAATGTTCCCCAGGAAGACCCGGACGCCCTTGGTTTCCAGCTTGGACGTCATGTTTTGACTTCAATTATTTCTGAAGTTCTTGTCTATTTCAATTTCTATTCCTGGTATCTACTAGTATTGATGGGCCCCTGCTGGTGATGTTGTTCATCACGTAGTTCACAAATAACTTCTAACACAGTGAACAACAAATTGGTCTGCTTTGGAAGAGAGAGAGAGACTAGTAATAAAAGAAGGGGATATATAAAAAAGCCGCTTAACTCTACTACATGGAGGTGCTAGTACTGCTTGTCGCGCTAGACGTTGTAGTCTTCTTAATACTTTTTTCTCAAAAATCCAGCCTTGTTTCCAGATTGATGTTGTCGCTGCGAAAGTATCAAATACGCATATGGTTTTTTCTTGTTTTACGTAAAGAAGTATTGCGACGCACATAAAGACACCACATTATGATGAAAAAATTGAAATCCATAGTACTCTACTAAAGGCTACAGAAGTGCTGCGGTTCGGCGTTCTGGTGTAAGTACGTCGTGCTAGAACTTCGACGTCCAAGATGCGGATACAAACACTTTAAGGACCGCCGCATTGAGAAGGGAGAGAGAGAGAGAGTTGGAGTGAGTTTTTCGTCCTAAAGGTTGCAGTTGCTGCGCAGGCTATACAAATCATCTGCTCGACGGTCTTTGCTTGCAGGAATAGACACTTCGATCTCTGCCACAGAGAGTTCTTGCTCGCGCGGCCTAGGAAATAAGGCGTGTGGGCGTGCATCTTCAGGATCTCATAAAATTGAAAATTACCGGGAAAAAAAAATAATAGAAAAAGTGAACAGCCTGTTTGGCTTGCAAATAGTCCAAAGGTGATCAACAAGAATAGGATGTTCTTTGTCGTGAGCACCGGCTCTACGTACAGGAACAGTTGTGGTCGCGACATGAACTTTTCATCGGGTTCTTTTTGAGAAAAACCAGCACGGAGAACAACAGATGAAGATGAGCTACTACAGGACTTCTGCGTCCCCCCCCGTTGTTCATGTGAATCCTTTTGATGTGCCTTTGTTTTCCTTTTCTTCATTATTCTCAGAGATCCATGATTCGTTGGTCATGCGCAAAGTTGTACATGCAGTGGTGAAGGCGTGAGCTCCGGTCCTGCTCAGATAATGATCATTTCAAGACCCTGTTACAACACATTTTTATTTACATTTTTCTATTTTTTGTAGTCGATATGCAGATGCTAGATATGGATGTCGATGTGGGTGATGTTGAAATGATGCATTTTATTCGATGTGCGCAAGAACGCTACTCTGCGACTGCGACGCTTTAATTATATGTCTTTCTAGTGCCTAGTTTGTCTTTATTATCAATCACAATCTCGTGGTCCTTGTCATTCTGTATCTATTTCTGTTGCAACTTACCCTAAAATTTCTTGCGTGCTGATATTTAGAGCTGGCTAAAGCATTTCGTATTCTTTCTTTTCCTGAAAAGCAAAAGCTCGACCTGCATGTACTTACTACAAAAAAAAAAAAACTTCTTGGAGTTGCTACCGCAACTTGGAGTTGGATCCAGATTTCTGTTGACGCGCTTCCTTAGCCTTGAAGCTGCTTCCTCGCAATAGACCACTACGTGTTGGAACAAGTCCAAAAAATTTGACTTCGAGACATGATGGTGCAAAATTCTGCTCTGGTGGCTTCCAACTGAGAACGATCTGGCGCACGTGTACCGGGACCGAAAATAAGTTTTGCACTAACCACCCAGTTTCAGCCCGAGCTCCTGCACACGCGGCCTATTTTTTTGCCAGCAGTGAAGAAGTAGATGCGATTCAAGAACACCACCAGAATCGACGGGAGATGAGAACTTATTCGAGGACTCCCATCTTTTTCTTTTTTGAACCGGGTTATAATGTGTAAAGTTAGAGCAACTCTACTTCACTTATCACTTTCCTGCACAAGGTACGATTGCCTCTGAGCAGTGCGGTTTTTGAAGATCATTCTGTGGCATCTAACAAATCTCGAGGGTTGTAGAGGTACTAATTGTAATTAGGTGGGCTTAAAGTCCTCGTCGAAAAAACCGACTGTGTTCTTGTTGCCCAGTTCTTGTACCGTAATATCTAGCTCCGAGATAACAGGCAGGAAAATGGCCAGAAATTAAAATTATCAGAATGAATACAAAACCTCCGCAGTTAATGTGCCCCTACTAGCGTGAAAGCTTCGCGTGTTGATTCGATTGGTGTACAAGAATGATTTTTTTGTTGTTCAAAACCGGAGCAGACAATACAAAGTCAATGCGTTCTTTTAGTGGTGTGCTTTTCGTCGAAAAGTAGCAGATAATCCTAATCGAGCAAGATGCATCTTGATAAGATATCGCTTTTTTAGCTTTTCTGGTTGCAAAAGATTTGCTTCATCATCGTCCTAGCTGTTTCTTGATACCTTTTGGAGTGCAGTCAAGATCCACTTAGCTCTACCTTATAATTAATGCTTTATTGTTTGCATCTAGCCGCCGGGAGAAAGATCAGTAGAAAAAATAAAAACTGTCTGGCCTTGCTGTTAGTTCAATTCATCATGATCCTCTAAGAACCCATACACGTACAACTTTGATCGTATGAGTTAGCCTGTTGCTCTTTCCTCACCTCATCGAAAGTGGAGAACTACACATCAAAGACCTCAAGTTCAGCTTCAGGCTGCAGATGTTTCCCATCTTCTAAAATTGTACATATCTTCCAGCAGGTGAACTCGTACATAAACATACTCACTACGCAAAGTAAACTTATAAATGGCGTACACTACATATGAAAAAGTCGAAGCGCTGCTCCTGTTCAGTCGGCCTTCTGTTTGGTTGTAAATGTAATTCTAATTATACACGTACAAACAGAAACCCGCCTCCCACGTGCGGCGCAAGAACGCTAATAGGCTGTAGGTAATTGAAAATCTTTTGTGTCAAAAAACACTTCCGGCGGCTTGAAGACTGCCGGTCGTTTTGGATGGGAGCTGTCAAAAAAACAGCTAGGATAGAACGTTCGTGACCTCACGACATACGACCATGCGTCTTGGTTGTACTAGGGATGCGGGAGTCTATGAAGGGACAAAGTCCATTTAGCTTCATGGATCTATTTTGAATATATTCAAAATCGGCCGTGAATATTTACACTTTGCAGAAGAGTGATTTTTTCAAACACGCCCGTCACCGACACCGAAGCCGACGTTTTCCGGGTTCAACAGCCACGCCCTGAGTTTCAAAACAGTCGCTGTTTATGGCAGACCCACAACTAGGATCCGCCGCCGGCAACTACCGAGCAGGCGCGGCAAAAAAAGCAACGCCAACGGCGCCAGCGGAGGTCTGAGGCGTGGCAGCGGCCTCCGCCTCCGGCACGCGGAAATAGTTGCGCATTGTTTCATCGGCGCATCGTAGCTGCTCCAACAAGCACCGGGGAGAAGAAGTATAGGCGTCGCTACGTGCCTGCGCGCGCAGCTACGTGCCCGCCTTGGCTTCGTTGCCGCCGCCTGCAAGGTTTTTCTTCGTTCTGCAACTCAGAACAAGACGCACCCCATACCTAGACGGTAAGCAAGGTAGTTCTGCGCCTGGAATGCAATCTGGCAGCGTGTGCGCCAGGCTTCTGCCCAGGCCTGCGGCGTGTGTGCCTAGAGGCAAAAAAAAGGGAAGCAAGGCGCGGCCGCTTGCTCCCGGCCGCTGAATGATTCAAAATCGGGATCCAGAAAAGCAGCGCTTCTTGCGAAAATTCACAACAAGAGCCGGCTCCCGAATGAATATCCTCAGAAAAGGCAAAAAAACGCTGCCCGTCCGTGAATCATTCAAGAGAAAGCCCCGCCTCCCCCACCCCATGACCCCGCTACCGCCCATCATTGTTTTGCTTCAGCACAGAAACAAAGCAGAGCGCGCCAGCCACTGCAATTCAAACTAACAGAGCGCGCGAGCAGGTGCGAAGGGGGCCTACAGTAGTTCTGCGCCCTATGCAAGGGCAGCCTGCAGCCCCTGTCAGTGCTGGCGCGCGCAGTGCCGTTTTTGCTTTTGGCATGCAATACAGCGCACCCAAAGTAAAGGCTTCCGTGGCGATGTTGCTCCCATTGATCGAGCGAAAAGAGCGGTCCGTCTATGGCTGGTTGTCGGTGTTCTTGTTTTCCGGGCCCGCCTATTGCTCAGCTACAAAGCGGCGGGCGTCGTCTCTGCGGGCAGCCTTATGCGGCTTGGCGCTGGTCGAACGCGTTTCGCTTTGCTGTTTTCGGCCTTGCAACGCAGCTCCGGGAAGCGAGATGCTACAGAGGATTTCTTTCGTTTTTCGAGTTCGCGGCATGAGAGGACGCGTTTGCCATACGACCATGCGTCTTGGTTGTACTAGGGATGCGGGAGTCCTCGCATCCTGGGCATTGGCTGCGTGTCTGCAGCGCTCCCCCGGTGTCATCATTTTTGTAGGCAAGGGCTGGCCACGGGAGAACAAAAATGGGACCACAGAGGTGGTTAGCCCATTCCGGCCCTCACGAGGTTCGCGCTGGTGCTGCGCGACCTAGTCCTATTTGTGATGCCTAGA